AGTTTCAATTTAAAGGAATTGAACATCAAATAATTATTTTTAACATTTAAAAAGAATGTTTTGATTTTTAAATAATTTAAATTATGCCTTTGTTATCAGGAGACCTACTCACCATTCTCTTTTCAAATAGAAAGAAGGGCTTGAGGGACATCCCAGCTTTGTGGAGAATATTTTATTTATAAGATTTTTCTCAAGTGATAATTAAATTAACAGTGGTAATTAATTAGGTTAACAGCTGAAAGCAATGTAACTATGATGACTCTCAGCATCAAGTTTTCTTTCTGTCCACTCTTTCTACAGCACAGTCTACATGAGCAAATGCCCAAGAAATTTGCAGCAGGACACCCAAACTAGTTGTGGTACTGGAGATTTCTCCTCTCATAATTTGGTGAACTTACCTGTAGCAGACCTTATAAATTCAGTTCTGTTCATGTGCCTACAGTGCTGTGAATCCTCACAGAGTTGCGAGAGGCAAAGCCACTTGGACAAAACACTGTTACAGGTTTGTTCACTCACCTCAATACAGCCACACCAAAACTCAAAGCACACACAAAGGAGGAGGGTCATTACGAGGACCCAGCTGTTTGGTCTTTTCTACCCACCTCACCAAGCTCCCCGCCTCTCTAACCTTACATAAATAAGTTTAACATAAGCAAGGGACTACACACTACTGAGGTCAATGCAGTTTCCCCATCATTTCAGAGAATCCAAATACTGCTCCAGAACACAAAGTTCTCTGGACCTGACTTTTCCAGATTCTTGTACAGACACCTGTATTCGTACACAGGCACAGAATTCTCCAAGTCAGAATAACATCCATTTATATCTACCCTGCAAAATGGAAACAGCTATGTCAGGAACCAAGGCTGTGAAGAATCAAGCACCCCCAGCCAGCTGCTTCAAATCCATGAGATGAACAGGCTCAGTGCCCATCAGATCTCAATCCCTTTCCTTGAAGACCAAAACCACCACCAGCTGGATATAATCTGCCTTCCTGAGCTCTGCTGGGGACCAAACTGAAGCTGCTGACCTTAAAATCTCAAAAAAAAAAGGAGTCCCTGAGCTCAGAGCACCAACTCAGCTGTGTTCAGGCACACTCTTGTCCCAGCCCTGCAGTGACATCCAGGTGCCATCCTCTGCCTGCCACTCCCAGGGTCTCCCCCTCCCTGGCAGACAGATGGCCTGGCCAAACTTTGGAGGGAGCTGGTGAGAGGCTCCCATGGATTTCAGCGGGAGCTGGACAAAAGCCAAGGTGAATTTCCTCTGCAACAACACCATTCCCTGCCACTGAGCTTCTCAGGCACAGCTTATCACCATGGTTTCTAAAGTACTGCTGGTACCAGAAAGTGAACACCCTCCAAAATTACTGTCTTCCTATAACACGAGCTGCATCACATGTTCTCCTTCATTTATCTCCTTCATTCCTTGCCTTCACATTAAGTTTTGCCTTTTACTCCCCAAATTAAGCCACGTGTTGGCTGATGGACACTGGCACTGCTGACAGCAGAAGGGAGGAGAGCAAGGCAGACTTTCCTGGTCTCTTAGATGTCAGTGCATAATAAAAACATCAAAAACATCACATGTGGCCACCCCCAGTAATACAGCCTCATGCACCTTTCCATGAATATATCACGGGGGAACAGAGTTTTGTTCAAGGCACCTATCTCCTTAAGGTTACTTCACTGCCTGATCCAGGCTTGGAAACTCGCCTTTTCCAAACTTCCTGGGGCTTGGCTCAAAGCTCACCTGGAGAGGTATGGACAGATCCAGCTGCAGGGGACTCAATTACCCCACTAGCCCTGGAGGAACCAGCAAAGAGAAAACATCTCATGTCAGCCAAAAGAAAGGTGTGCTGTGAGCTAGTTCACCATTAACCTGCATAGTACACACTTCTACATGGTTGTGCAGCTTTCTGCAATAATTCCTAACACTCAGAGGCCTGATAGTCGTTTTGACATTATTTATAAAACAGAATTAAAACACAATTTTAATGCTAGAGGGCATTTAAATCAGTTAAGTTTTAATCCAACAGATAATATAAATATCAGCTTCAGCAGTGAAGAGATTTACAGGTCTAATCTAAACTGGATACTTGCCACACACCTCATAACAAATTATTTGTAATGGATAGATAAGGAAATACAAAGATAGTAAAGAAATGAAAATAATAAAAGAATTTAGGCACAGATGAAACACAGATCAAGCACCTTCTTAAATCAGCTAATACCAAAATCTCAAGCATCCTTAGAACTGTAAATTTAACTTGGACTGCTTAAACTGAGGTCATTCTGAGCCAGACCACGGCCATTAGATAAGTAGGTGCAGCCCACTAACATCAGAGACACTTCCTTGATTGTGTCAGCCCTTGGCTTGCAAGAGACAAAGCAGGAGGTATTTTCAGACACAGATTTCTACAGCTGGAAATGTGTTGCATTGTGGTTTTCCAATAGCTGAAGTTTAAACTCTGAGAGGATTGAGGTAACAGCAGCTATCAGATATGCTTGGTAGAAGAAAGAAGTGATTTGAGAAAAGATTAATTCCCTTTAAAGTAGACATTGTCCAGCCAGATTCTTAACAGTGGCTTGACCAAAATACAGTGCTTTTCAGTCAGCAGCAACTTTCACATTGACTTTTATGGACCCTGGAGCAGACTTTTTTCTGGTAACTTTTTTACAATGTTGTTTTCATGTCCCTTGTATTACAGGCATTAGTTTTTTTTAAAAAAAACATGTAAATTGTAAAACATTACACTACCTTGCTGACTAGTAAGTTGAACTAAACCAACAGTTTAAACAGCTCAGCTCACAGCTAATAAGCAATTTAAATAGCTTTGCTTTGCTAAGCTCAAGTAGCTGTATCAGGTTTCATAGCACGATCAGTCACTGCCAAATCCATAGGCAGCATTTAAATGAATCATTAGCAATGGTCACCCCCAGGAAAAAGAAAAAAGGAAAGTAAAAGAAAAAAATATTTTAAAAGCTAAGAATCAATTAATTGTCACAATTTCTTTGAGTACATGCCCCATATGTGACACTAAAATGTGCCCAGGAAGCAAATCCCACTCAAATGCCTGGGCCAAAATATACTCATGCAAGTAAGAATGACTGAGCTCTGTGTTCTGACCACGACCTGCTTCACAAAGACACGTGAGTACAGAGCTGCCCATTTCACAGAAGGACAAGCTGGAGCATGCAGAGGTGAAGGATTTGCAGCACAGATGGAACCAGAAGCAAACTGGGAGGTTGCTCCTGTGCCATGTGTGCTAAGCCACAGCTGCAGTAATGCTATCACAAACGCACTTCCAAGTTCTCCAGATCAGAAAGGTGAATGACAAGATAATTATGTGAGACACTGGGAAAATGCATATTCACCAAACACCTTGTCTGAACTCTGTACAGAGTGCAAGAGAAGGCACAACCCACGCTGAAACCCACGGAATGAATGACACTGGGAGCTTGATCTCATGTGCACCAGTGTAAGACTGAAATTACTGAGAAATACATTAAAGCAGTGTATTGAACTGACCAGTGAACGTGCCTGCTCCCTGTACAGGTCTGCATGATCTGACACGGCATGCAGCAGCACAGACAGGAGCACAACCAGAGCTCTCAAAAGCCTTTGCAGCCAAAGTCCTTCGCAGCTGGAACAGCTCCGGAGGCAGAGCAGGACCACACCAAGGCCAGAACTAAACTGACTGACAGAAAGGGTGGAGGAGCACTGTGACCTTCCACTCACTTCTCTCCAAGCCACAGCTAAACTGATCTACCAGAATAGAAATGGTTAAAAATGACAGCAACTAAAACATTTGCCTTTAGAGACACCCAGGTAGATCGACAGAGGCAAGTTTCCCATGGATGGATGTTTCTGATCATCCTGGACTCTGTGGGGCAGTGCTGCTCTGAACAGGTTTCAATACTTCTTTCTCCAACCCCAAGGACAGTTTCTCTTTTATTTTCCAGTTAAACTTTGCATAATTAAGAAGCAGATGAGCCCCTGTAATCCTGAAGAGAAACGTAGGGAGATACTCACTTAGATCCTATTTCTCCCTCTGCCCCTGTATTTCTATTCAGTACTCCAGAGTATCAAATTTGGACGTGTGCATGCCATTTTAATTCATTATTTATCCATACAGCCTCACATTATATTACTTTGACAACAATTAACAAATCTATAGTGGGAATTTGGACATTTGAAAGCAGCAGAGGAAGCTCAGAAACTGGAGAACGATTCCTTGCCACACGGGGGTGAGGAGAGGCAAGGAAAAGGTGTAAGAGAACATAATAGGATAAAAATAAAGTAAATTAAATGTGTGGGTTTGGAATCCCCCAAGACATTCTGGTCGAGAGGATCTCAAACCTATAGATAGTTCAAGCCAAAGGCACAACCTTAACCTCTGTTCTCCGATATTTAGTTCACAAACTACCCTAATGCCAGCATTTGGCGTTTGTCCCCCCATACAAGTTAGAGGATAACAAAAATGAAGGACTAATTTTTGGAAAGACCAAGCTGAATTCTCCAAAAGGCTACCACATGTGGTCAGAGACTCCTGGCATATTAAAAAATGTTTAAAAGAGAAAAATATGTGCACAAATTAGGGACCACCTGGCACAATTCAGGCAAGTTTACCGTGTGCCTCCAGCAGCCAGAGCTCCGGCAGAACCGGCGCGTGGAACATGACAATGAACTCGCCGCACATCCCGCAGCTGACCGGCCAGGGACCGGCCCCGCTCCGGCCCCCGCTCCGCGGCATCCCGAGCTCCTCCCCGCTCCTGCCAGCGGGGATTTTGCCGCCGGTGCCGTTCCTCCGCGGCGTGCCCGCTCCGCCGGCGGCTCGGGCGGCAGCCAGCGATTAATTACGGTACAAAACGCGTCCAGGGCAGCGCTCACGGGGCGGCCGCGCTCGCCCCGCTCCGCACCTGCGGCGGGGCCGGCGCGGGAGGCGGCGCCCACGCGCGGCTCGGGGCGCGGTGCCCCGCGGGGCCGGGGCCCGGCGGACTCACCCCATGTCTCGGCACCTCTCGGCGGCGGCGGCGGCACCCCCGGGCGGCTCCCCGCGCTCGGCGGCCAGCGGCGGCCGCGTCCCCACTTCGCACATGCGGCCGCCCCGGCTGGCTGCGGCTGCACGGCGGCTGCACGGCGGCGAGAGCCGTCCTGCTCCTCCTCCCGCCTCCCTCCCCCCTTACATAACCTCCCTCCCGGGCGGCGGCGGCACCGAGCAGCTCCCGCGGCACCCGCCGCCCTGCCAGGCGGCAGCGCGGGGGCGGCGGGCGGGGCGGGGCCGGCCGCGCCCGGGGCTCCGCTCCCCGCCCCGGGCCCGGCCGCCGGCGCTCGGCGGGTTGTGCCGCGGTGCGCGGCCAGGAGCCGGTGGGGTGTAGGGTCTCGTCCTCACGATGCCCTCGCCGGGGCACGGCGAGCCGCCGAAGGGGACGAACGAGGCGGCAAGAAAACTTCGGGGGAAGTTGTGGGGTGTCCCCACGCGGCCCCGCCCGCGGCCGGGGAGCCTCAACGGCGAGAGGGGTGAGCCCTCCCCGGGGAGCGGCTGTCCGGGACCGGCTGTCCCGCACCGGGATGCCGCGCCGCCAGCCCCGGCTCCGCGGCGCGGGCACGGCGCGCTGGTGCCGGGGATGCGCTTCCCCCTGGAGGCGATGCCACGCCGAGGGATGCCCGGTGAACCACGAGCGGGTTCTCCCGCTGTCACGCCCTCCCCGCGTTCCGAATCCGCGCTCCCCGGGGCCGTGGGGGCGCAGCCTGCGAGCCGCGGGCTCGGCTCTGCCCTGTTCGGCCACCGGCAGGGCAGGGGCCGCACGCAGCCAGCTCCCGCCTGCTCTGCCCAGAAATGTGGGAGGTCTGCATCTCCTTTGGCTCTTCTCAGCCTCGCTCCAAGTCTGTGCCACACACCGTCCCAAAACTATGTAGGTTTCGTGAAAATAAAGGGGGACGATTCCTAAGCAGGGAAGGAAAATTGGACTAGCGTGGAAGAGCCGTGTAATGGCTACCTAGCCGCGAGGGTGACACTGGCATCTGAGCGGCAATCACAGGACACAAATCCATAGCAGAGCCGTGGACCTGCTCGTTCGAGTGTTCACAGGACTGTGTACGCAGACACACTTACTCTTTCATGGAGAAAATACGACCAATTCACACATAAAACAGGCTTTTAACTTCACCCACACAAAGTTATAATTAATACTCTGCCACCAAGAGTGATTATTTTAATCTTTTTTTTTTTTTTTTTTTTTAAATCTCACGTTGATTTATCCTTTCTTTCCAAGGAAGATTAGAAGTTGTGGGAAAAGTTTTATGTTTGCTTGCTTTTACTTCATGTGTAATAACTGGGGGTGTCCCTAGTATTGCCTTGGGACATCATGAAAATCCTGAAAGAAAAACTTAGCCAGCATCCAGACTCCTTCCAGCTGTGGACAGTGGAACCCTTTTTCTGACAGACAACTATTTCCTGATGTCTGGAACACCAAAATGGAATTTCAGTCCCATGCACCCAAAGTCTTTTCCGTTGGAGGGAAAAAAGAGCGGGGGTGAATGACACAGACATTTTCACAAGGCTGTAGGATGACACCTCTCCCATGTACCTGCTCTCTTTACCACGATCAGAGGGTTACTGTGGGTATTGAAGGAGACTTAACTCCTTACCTAATCACTGATGTAAAACTTCCTATGTCCTGTTCTGCCAGATGAAGGTGAGATAGCCTCTGATTTCCTCTGAGATACCCATGGCAAAAGTGACAAACCTTTCATGTTCATGATGACCTGCATCCTTGAATATTGCTTTGATGTGACCATTTTGTCTTCTAGAGGACACAGTGAGGGGTGACATTTTCTAAGGGTAAAAACAGCAGCATAGAAATCTTGTGGAAAAAACTCTCACCATGGATCTGAGCATTTTATAACATTGTTTTTACACCATTTACCTCATTTTGTTAAATCTCCGTTCATCAGAGAGAAGTTGTCTTAGTCCTCTCTAATTAGCTCATTTTGGTGAGTATCCAAAAGCTGTGTTTTATGAACCAGTGCTGCATGAGACTTACAAGCATCTAATGGAATTGGATCAAAATGGGGTAATGCCCTCACTATGTGTCATGATGAGAATTGGCAATTGGAACTGCAGTTGCCTTAGTATTTTCTAATTTTTAATTTTTTTCCAATATTGCATTCAAGACTGTGCTCTCAACCCCATTTATAAAAATAAAGCTTAAGTTTATGGAAGCATAATTCACATGATACAAGATTTTGTATATCGCTTTTGTTCATAAGGTCTTTCCACTTCATTATTGCTCTTTGCAAAACTGTCTTCTAGGACATAGAGGGTTTTAGCCCCATTTTTCCAGTACCCTGAGACATTTTCCCTGGCAGACAACAATTTAACCCAGTTTTCTGTTCATATTTGGGGTAAGTGCAGTCCCTTCATCTGAAATTCCCACTGTCCTTCCAAATGGATGAGATACTCCTCCTTCTGAAGTGTGGCACATTGTTGTGGTCCTCTTTGCCAAAAAGAGGATGAAGCCCTGTCCCCACTTCAAGTCAATGGTAAAAGTCCCATGGATTTGAGTAAGGCCCAGATCTCATGCAAACCACTTAACAATATCAATATTGAATTTTTTTTTAATTTTTCTACAGACAGCTCCATCTTGAACATCTCAACCGTAACTGTGTCCTAGTTTGTGTATAGTTCCCATTGACTTATTTTTGTGTAATTTAATATTCCAGTTGTTTAAGGTATTTTCAGTTCTCTGGAAATGAGAACTATAAATATTCTATCACAATTAATGAGTTCTCAAGCTTCATATGTGACATGATCTTTCATTTCCGAGCTGGCTCAGGCACAGGATGTGTAAGGGAGGGTAATTCAGTCCTCATTTAGTATTCACAAGTGTGCCCTTATTGCTGTGGCACGCTTAGGAACACTTAAAATACTGAAGGCACAGGATCCCTTGGTAGGATTCAAGCTGAGGAATAAAAATATCCACATTCTGTAAATGGGTCTAACTTCTTTAGATGAGAAATTTCTTCTATTCCCACAGGCCTCCTAAAGATACAATTTTTTGATTCCTAGATACAGGGTGAATATCCTTTTCAGAAAGCTGATCTAACAATCAGGACTATGTACCCAGCATTTTGAAAAGCAAAGAGCTCACTGGGCTCTTCCTCTCTCTGTGTTTCTGTTCTCTCCTTTTGTTTGGTTTCACTATTGTTGTCTTCTGCCACTCTATTTTATTTTAGATGTAATTTTATTGCAGAATAAACCTGCTGCTCAGTCTTTTTAAACTATTACACTTCAAGGTAGATTTCTCTCTATTTCCCATGGCAGGTAGTATTAAATAAAATATTCAGTACTGTGATTTTTCTCTTTTTTCCAAGTAGACTGATAAAATCTGCATTTTTTTAATCCAGCAGGACTGTGCCATTTCCCTTTTTTTCCCCCCTTTGACAAATAACTAACCATTTTCTATCTTTAAATGTTATCCTGGAGTTTAACCAAAATAAGCTTGGGGAATTCTTGATTTTTACATTTGAAACAGAGAATTAGTTTTCTTAGTCTCCTGACAAATGGAGAGCTAATGTAATTATAATATCACTGGCTATAAAATGTTAAAGGTGAAGCAACAGAAAAAAAAGGATTTTCAATAATTATGTTGAAAATACTCTGATTTGCAGTATTTGTTTTTAAAACCTACTTAATCTAATATCTAATAAATAATTAGGACAAAAGATCTATTTGCTTAAAATAATAAACGCTCTTGTCCTTTCAATTAAAATGTTAGAGCTCACAAAAAACATGAGACTTTCAAGTTCTCCAGCAAGACATCTGATTTCTAAGAAAAAAAGTTTTTCTCTTCAGTCTCCTTCAGAAATAAGCCAGAATAATAGGATTACTTTCTGTCTCTTTAAAAGCAAAAAATAAAAGGGAAAAAGTAATTTAAAAGCAATTTAAATTGCTTTTAAATTTAAATTTAAATTTAAATTTAAATTTAAATTTAAATTTAAAATGGGTTGCATGTTATCTTATTATTCTGTGCGGTTTATTCTTATATTTACTTAGTGCCAGGAAGCACCTGTATAACTGGAGTCATAGAAGGTTCATGCCCAGTTTGTACTTCACTTTTTTTAGAGTTATCCTGTGAAAAATGCAAGTACCAAATCCAAGCAGATGTTTATGTAAATGCAAAGAGCTGTCTTTGTCACATTATGGTATATGTTGCCTTCTGAATAAAGACAAAGGCAGCCAACCAAAAATAATTTAAAATAAGATCTTAAAGAGAGAAGACCTGGACATACAAAGAAAGCCAGCAAAACCAGAACGATGCCCTGCAGTCACCACCAGGACTCCAGCCTGGATGTGAGTACCCAGCAAGGAGTTGAAGGCTACAAACCTGTAAGAGGCTGTAAGAGTATAAGAGGCTGCTGGAGTAGAAGATGTTGACCACTGGCAGAGTCAGAGCAACTCTGTCAGCACTAATACACAACAGGCCAGATCCTCGAGGCTCCTTTGTACTTTGGTCTGCTAGAAATCCAGCTTGGGACACATCCAGGAGTGCACACTGAACATTTGTAGAGGTGGTGCCACACTAGGAGCAAACCTTGCTCCATTATCAGATCTTTATTTTGTACTTACTAGGTAAGAAAAAACAGATAATCCCAATTCTTCTTAATGTTTTCGTTGATGTAGACACTTTGATTATGTCCACTCTGCTGTAAAGGAAATAACTTTGGTCATCTGTATGTAGTGGGTCTTGCTGCTCTGCTCTGGAATCATGCTGATTCAAACTGGTTTGGCAGGGGACAGACTGGGACTCTGCAGGTGATGAGTGCTGCATGTGTCCTCACAGCTTGTATTTGAGTCTATTTACTTGTTCATATGCACAAAAATACTGCTTTTTGGAGCACACATGCATAAGTGAAGATCTTCATAAAGCCGCTCAAAGGCATGTACAGATCTCCCAGATGATGAGATAGATCCTGACTTGCTCCTCAAAACTACCAAATATGTTCAATTTTTCATTTCCAATATGCAGGGCTTTGCATTTCATATGGCACTTAAGAAGCTATCAGCTTTTTCACTCAAAATTTATTTTGGGGGCTTTCTTTTTAAATCCCCAGAGAAGAAAAAAAGGTTCCATTTCATCTGCAAATACAGATTTTGATTCTGGTTTCCTTCCAGGCTTATATCATAAAAATCCTTTTA